AGATAGAACAATAAGAAAAATGATGCCTGCCTTTGCTTCTGTTCCTGAAGATAGTTCTATAGGTCCCTGCCCTCCAGCACATACCTTAAAATCAGTCACTACATCTCCATCACTTATGGCCCACTTTTCAATCTGCCACCTATCTGCTGGGTCTTGGAGCCAAGTAAGTTTGTTCATAAGCCCTTTAAGAGTGGCCTCTCAGTTTTCTCTATCCCTCCAGCTCTCCTGGAATTAAACCCTACTGATTTTCAAATCCAGATATTATGGAGGCACATCTTCCTAATTCAAGTCCTCAGAACAAGGGTCCCTGGTGTGGGTTTGATTCCCTTGGTCCTCAGGGAGGACCCTTGGTGTGTTGACCTACATGTGGTAGGATATTATACACATGGAGGTCCTGCCCCCCCATAATGTCTGTATTTTTGATGTGTCAGTGGAAGGAGGTGAGTTCAGAATCTTCCTATCTACCATCTTGATTCTGTTCAATCAGCAAATATGTGTTTTGATTCCATTTACATTTAAAGTTATTAATAACAGATATGGGCTTACTTCCATTTTGTTCATTGTCTTCTGGCTGTTTTATAATTCCTTTGCTCTTCTCTGGCTCTCTTCCCTTGAGATTTGATGATTTTCTACCATGGTATGCTTATTCCTTTTCTTGATTTTTTTGTGTATCTGCTGTAGTTTTTTGCCTTGTGGTTACCAAGAGGATAACATAAAACATCCTACTGTTAATATTCTATTTTGAACTTGTTGCCAGGCAGCTGCATCTGGGGAGGTCTCTCCCAGTGCTCTAGGTGAAACCTCAACCCAGACAACAGAGGGCTCTTGACTCCGATCAGGAAAGAATTCTTGCTTAGGTCAGACTAGTGCCAGCAAGAAGGAAATTCATTAAAGCAAGAGTGGAAGCGTATGTCAGTAACCATGCAGGCAGTAGAGGGCAAGGAAGAACAGAGGGAGAAAAGGAAAATTCATTGAGCCCCTGCTTGGCATAGGGCAAATACCTTGCCAACTCCTAAAACCAGGGTCACCTGGTATCCAATGTCTGCTTGACCTGCATGGCATGAGAATTACATCCCTACCACCCCAGAATTTTGGGGAGCTGCAGAGCACTGGATGGAATGAGATTATGTTCTGAGAACTTCCACTTCCCTACTGGTCTGTAATAAAACAGGGAAAAGAGACTAGAAACAGTGTTAAGACTAGAAATCTAAATGAAATAGCAAAGTGACAAAGACACTTAACACCAGAGGTGAGGTTGGTGAGTTCTTATCTTTATCATGAAAAAGAGTTCAGAGACAAGTGTACTAGGCTTATACAACAGGCCATTTTATTTGATAGGATAGTACATACTCAAATGGAAGTGCAGGCAACCTCAGGAAGGAGACATACTTAAGGGTTTAGGGTTTGGGGTTTTATAGGGCCTTTTGGGTAAGGGTTGCATAAGGCATGATGTATACAGGTGATTCATAATGCCTTTAAACTTTTGTCTTAAGTATAGGGTTGTTTAGGTGACTGTTGATTTGGATCTCAGCATTCTTTACCCATGTAGGTTCATTTATACTCCAGAGGTCTGTCTCATCCTGGTTATCAAGTTACTTAATTGATTAAGGGCTGGAAGAAGAGAAAGAACAGCATATAGATTAAGGATAAACTGGGCCTTTTTCACAGTCTAAGTAGATTTTACAATGGCATGACCCTTGTCCCATTCCCTGCTCTAGCTCAGGCTGGTAACACTCTTAAGTTGGAATGTTACCCTCCATGTTTTGCTTTTATGTTACAATTTACATCTTTTTATCTTGTGTATCCTTTAACAAATTATTGTAATTATAATTGTTTTTACATATTTTGTTTTCTAACCTTCGTATTAGATTTATAAGTGATTCACTACCATTTCATTAGATTACTATGAATTAACTATATATTTACCTTAACCAATGAGATTTATACTTTATTGTTTTTTGTTACTAATGAGCGCCCTTTTGTTTTAGATTAACTAAATCACTTTACCACATTTCCTGTAAGGCCCAACTAGTGGTGCAGAACTCCTTAAGCTTTGGCTTGTCTGGAAAACTCTTTATCTCTACCTCAGTTCTGAAGTACAGCTTGCTAGGTAGAATATCCATGGTTGCCAGCTTTTTAATTGCAGCACTTTGAATATATCATGCCACTCCTAGCCTACAAAGTTTTTGCTGAAAAATGTGCTCATAGTCTTTTGGGGGCTCCCTTGTGCATAACAAGTTGTTTTTCTCTTGCCTGTTTTAAAATCCTCTCCTTGTTTTTAACTTTTGACAATTTAATTATACAGGCATACCTTGGTGATATTGCAGGTTCAGTTCCAGACCACCAGAATAAATCAAGTATCACAATAAAGCAAGTCAAATAAATGTATTGGTTTCCCAGTGCATATGAAAGTTATATTTACATTAATGATAGTCTATTAAGTATGCAAAGCTTAATGTCTACAAAAACAATGTACATACCGTAATTGAAAAAATCCTTTGATACTGGAAAATTTGAACATCTTCTGAACTTTCAGTAAGTTATAATCACTGATCACAGGTCACCATAACAAATATGATAATAATGAAAAAGTGTGCAATATTGCAAGTGCTACCAACAGGTAACACAAAGACACTGAGTAAATGCTGTTGGAACGATGGCATCCACAGACTTGCTCAATGCAGGGTTTGCCACAAACCTTCAACACTTTGTAAAAAGTGTGGTATCCCTGAAGTGCAGTAAAGCAAAACAAAGCAAAGAGAGGTATGCCTGTAATATGCCTTGGTGTGGTGTCTTTCAGTTCATTTCATTTGAAATTCTCTGGGCTTCCTTAATCAGAATATGTGTTTCTTTACCCAGGTTAAGGAAATATTCAGCCCCTTTCTCTTTTCTCCTTCTGGGACCTCTGTAATACAAATGGTAGTCCACTTAATGTTGTCCATAAGTCCTTTAAACTATTTCTACTCTTTTTCATTTTTATTTTCTTTTTTGCTCCTCTGATTGAATGAGTTATACTGTCCAGTCTTTGAGTTCTCTGATCCTTCTTCCACTTCATCTAGTTTATTGTTGAATCTCTCTAGTGTATTTTTCAGTTCTGTTATTGTATTCTTCAGCTCTGTGACTTCTCTTTGTCACTACTTTATATTTTCTTTCTCTTTGTTGAACTTCTCACTTTGTTCATCCATTTCTCTTCCAAGATCAGTGAACATCTTAATGATTCTTCCTTTGAACACTTTGTCAAGTAAATCACTTTATCTCAGTTTCATTAAAGACCTTCTGAGGTTTTATCTTGTTCTTTCATTTGCTGCTACTACTGTTCCATTTCCCTTGACTCTCTGAGTTGATTTCTATGCATAAGATAAAACAGCCACCTCTCCCAATCTTGAAGGAAAGTCTCTTGGGGGAAATTAATCTTGTCCTTGAACCCTGCCCTAGCTCTCTGTTGTCTCAAATATTTGTGAGTGTCCAAGCAGCCTTCTTTGTTCTTAGTAGCTCCCACTAGTTAACTGTGTGCCAAGGTCTGTCAGTGTCCCAAAGGGGAAGATCTCTATCAGCACCTTGATACAGGCTGATTAGAAGCTGGAACCCTCAGGAAATAGCTTTTAAAGTATGCAAATACACCTCTTTCAGAAGAAAACTGAGATATGGACAATTTTGTCTGCTCACTCTACACTGAACTCTGGGGTGATAACCAGTTACAAAATTTTTGCTTTCTATCATCCTGTTGAACCCATGAACACAAGCCCTGCTGGCTGCCAGAGCTAGGTTCTCAAGTGTTGCATCCTCTGGGTGACAGCCACAAAAGCCAGGGTGCCAGATTATGTTACACAAGCTCCTTTCATGGGGACATGTGACCTGGGGCGGGCAAAGAGATAGTGCAAAGACGGCAGCCACTGGCTTCCTTGGTCTTCCGAGTATTGCAGTTGGCCCCTGATGTGTGTCAAAGTAGAAGCCTGATCTTTAGGCCACTGGTTTTAGGATAATACAGGTCTCTTTCACAGAAAGGCTGTCCTTTTCATTCTGCTACCTGTGCACTGTGCCCTGTGGAGACAGCCAATTAGGAACTGTTTCTCTGTCTGTTATAGCCCTGTGGGACCCGGGAACGTAAGGCCCTTGGCGGTTAGAGCCAAGCAATCCAAGGGTGTGTTCCTTGGCCAGCAGCTGCAAAAGCCAGAGCATCAGATGAATGCTCAAGTTCCTTTCCAGGAGATACCAGTGACCCAGAGCAAGGCAGAGGGAAGCACGAAGATGATGCCAGCCAGCCTCCCTGGCCTCTGGAGAACATTTCAGTCAGCCCCTAGATTCATGTTAAATTAGATACATGCCTCTCCAACTGATGCTTTAAAAGAAGCATATAAGCCTCTTTCACAGGAAGTCTAGGCACTTTTCGGTTGGCTGCCTCAGTAATGAGCCCTGGAGTGGGTGAATCTGTATGTCTACTCCCTTTAGGAACTATTTTTCTGTTTGCTGTATTCTTTTAACTCTTGTGGATGCAAGCCCTGATGGCTTTCAAAGCTAGATTTTGGGGAACTCATAGCAGGTGCAGACCTTAAAAGTTGGAGTGTCAAATGTGGGATTCAAATACTTTCTTCTTCAGGGAGTAGATTGGGTTTGTGAGTTTCCTTCTGATTGTGTGTTATCACACCTGTGGTGTGGTTCGTGACAAGATTGTGTCTCAGTCTCTCCTACCCCTTTCAGTGTGTTTTTTTAGGGTTTTTCAATCCCCCAAAATGTCATAGAAGTTGCTCAGCTAGTTTCTGGGTTTCATTCAGAGGAAATTGTTCCATCCATATGGAGCTCTGGTTTTGGTGTGTCTCCGGGAGGAAGTGATTCAGGGCCTCACCATCTTGAACTGTCTAGTAGGGTTTTGTAGATAATCTTCAGAGTCTTCCCATTTTGGGGGTCTGAAATATAGTCAAGAGTATACTCCGTTTCTTTCAGGCATAGGTCTGTGTCCCTCCCTGACCCTGACCTAACATTCAGTCACTTTATGATTCTAGAAAAATAACTGCATGCTACCTGAGGATGTGAAGAACTTTTACCTGATGACCAATGGTTTCCACATGACATGGAGTGTGAAGCTGGATGGTGAGTCAGCTGCAGGGGAACATTTCCCTACCTGAGAGGTTGGATGAAACAACTCTGAGGACCTTTACAACTTTGGTGTATTTGAATCTGGATGATTTTCAGGGGATCTCCTAAAGTTTGGTGTCCAAAAGCTGTGATTATCTCCCAGAGCTAACATATACTATCATTGCTTCACCTACCACCCACTTCACCCCCTGTGCCAGAGTTCAGCCAGTGCTTAATTGGAAGCTTAATTTAGAGGCTTCCTACTGGAGTGGACTGGCTTAAACATCACATTACACAAAAACCCTGTGCCAGCTCAAACTTAAAACTTCTGAAGACTCCACCTCAGAGTAGTCTCCTCAGAGTGAACTGAAGTGACTGCCTCTGGTCGTCCTGAGATTCCTTCCTTCATTCCCAGCATGGCAAAAACTTCAGGGCTGTACCACAGAGCAGACTCCAGCACGTCTCCTCAGCCTCAGTCACCAACCGCCTCGGTTCTCATGTTGTCATCTGTAGTATTAAATGAGTTAAGGACAAACGTTTGGGTTGCAGATGTCAGAGCTCATAACTTGGTACATGTCAATGACTGTGCTTGCTGTGTACACATGAAAGGCAGTGCTGCACATTTAAGTGATGATTTCCTTTAAATTTTGTAGCCACTGGAGTCCTACCCATTCCTGGCATAGATTTCCCTGTCCCAAGAGGCCATTATTGGATCTGGACTCCAGTCACATGCCTAGATCTACTTTGGTCCTTGGAAGCCACTCTGCCATCCTCCACACAGTCACTAGGAAAGCAGTAACCTCTATTGCATAGTAAATTGCAGAACTGAGTTCTCCCCTTCATTGCCTCTGCTACAACTTCCTTAGTTCCCTTTTTTGACAATTCCCAAAGACTCCCTGTCTGTCTCTCACAGCTGACCAGAGGCACTTCTTATATAGCTTAACCCACTGAGCACTTAGCCTGAATTTTTAGCTCGGACTCATTTCCTCCAATGGCCTAGAAACCATCCTTACTATCAGAGCCCTACTTTGTAACACAGCCATGGCCTTTGGAGTCTGGAGGAAAAGAGAATGGACAGAGACTAGACTGACTGATAGACTTTCCCTTGCCCACATCATGGAGACAGTCTAGCCCTTCACAAATCTCCCTCAGAAAAGAAACATTTCACGAAAGTTATGTGAACAAGTTCTTTTTCATCATTATAATATATTCTCTAATCAAATCCAATCACAGTCATCTTCTCTTTATTCCCATTACCATACCCATTCTTTACTGGATGGCTAAAGTCAGCAAAAAAAAGCACAAACACCTTCTGATGTTTACTTCAGTAGTGGTCTTTTCCTGAACATTCTGTAATGTATACACTAGCTCTTTTATTGCCTTCAGCCACTCCAGTTTTTCAGTAGTCAGATTTCTGAGTCTTTTGTGCCATCCCGTGTCCAACATCCTATATCACAAGGATTCTATGTAACAGATAAGGAAAATATGCAGTCTGCCTATTTCTTTCTTACACCCTAATCTCAGAAGACTAGAACCAAACAAGAAGGCTGCCAAATTCTCCCTACTGAGTAAGGAGCAATGACAAGTAGGGGGGGGAGATATTTTCTATCATGAGAGCTTTTAACAAGAAGAGTAGAAGGGACCAATTATATAATCAAAGCTCTTACTCCTTTTAAAAGTATAACCTTTCCTACAGAGGCAAGAGGGAACAAAAACATTTTTATAAGTCCTTTGCTCTTCAAACAATTTTTTTCAGCATTTAAAATCTTTTTAATTTAAAGTTTTAAATTTTCTTCTTTTTTTCCATTTTTAAATTTTCTTCAATACTCTGCCCTAACACATACAGTGGGGACTCTTCACCTCTGACCCCAGTTGCTTTTTTTGCATGCACATTTATCCTTTGGAGTATATAGTGCATTGATCCTTTTCTTTCCACTTTCCATCAGATTCCTCAGCTCTGGAATCAAACAGAGCTGTAGTAACTTATGATGACCATAGTTGTTACTACTTGAATTCTCCTTTTTCTTGTTCCATAGAAAACACCATTCCATTGGGCAGCATGGCAATTAACAGCATCACAAAACTGACTCAACTCAGCCAGTCTTCCATGTATTCACTCCCTAATGCACCAACTCTGGCAGACCTGGAGGACGATGAGCATGAAGGTACTTGAAGGAATTTCTGCTTTGAGTTAGAAGTCACCTTGCTTATTTCCTTGTTATAAAACTGAAAGCCATGGGAAGACGTGGCATTGTGATATGTCCTCCCAAACCAAAACCCTTACCATTCATTGGCTTGTCAGGATCATGGGAGTCAGGTTGAAAAGAAAAAAGCATATATTAACAAAAGAAATTTTTGTGAAAGAAATGCCGAGGTTAAGATCTTTGTTTTCTTTCCAGCATGTATTTCAATTCCTGGCACCTAGTAGGCACTTAGGAAATACTTGGTAAATGAATGGTAGAGGTTACACTGTACTCAGTGTTTTAGTGTCAGGAGGTTCCCAGGAACATGGCAGTCTAAATATACCATTCATTGGCTTGTCAGGATCATGGGAGTCAGGTTGAAAAGAAAAAAGCATATATTAACAAAAGAAATTTTTGTGAAAGAAATGCCGAGGTTAAGATCTTTGTTTTCTTTCCAGCATGTATTTCAATTCCTGGCACCTAGTAGGCACTTAGGAAATACTTGGTAAATGAATGGTAGAGGTTACACTGTACTCAGTGTTTTAGTGTCAGGAGGTTCCCAGGAACATGGCAGTCTAAATTCTGTTCCCCTGCATCCCTCCAGGTTCTTTGCCACTTCTGATTGAAATGGCTTATAATTCAAGTGGCTGCTAAAAGCTATGAACCACTGGGTATAAGTAAGGACTTATTCAGTCAGAATTGTGTTTGTCTGCATATAAAAGAAACCTAAATACAATGTCTAAATTAAATGGCTTATTTTCTCACAACAAGAAATCTGGGACTTGGCTGGTGGAGCTGCTTGAGAAAATCAGTGATAAAGTCTTCCTCTGACTTCCTTTTTTATACCAGTCTTTGGGTATGGTTTTCATCCCTACAGTTGAAGAATGCAGGCTCTACCTCCAAACCTCAAGGCTATGATCCAGGAAAGAAAAAGAGGAGTAAGGACAAAGGGCAAAAAAAACAAAAAACTGCCTCTTGGCAGAATCTGTCCCTATTTATCAGGAAAAAAGTGATAATTTTCTCAGAAGTTCTTCCCAATATCCATTAGCCAGAATATAGTCAAAAGTTTACTGATACCTACAGGGGAAGCTGAGGAGGTAAGTATGTTTAGCTGTGCAGTTTTGCCTCCTCAAATACAGTTACAGGTGCTCAAAAAAGAGAAAATAATGGGAGAAGCAATAAATAATCACTAATAAAAGAAAAATTTTCTGTAGATTGAAGCAGCAGAAAGAAAAAAAAAAAGAGTGAATTTTGAGTAGACAGTTGACATCTCCCATACTAAGGCCTTGGGGTGCACTGAAGTCTTGGCAGAGAGCACTGGTGCAGGGCTTTCTCCATCAGCTGCACAGGCGGTAGGCCAGTAGTACCAGAAGAGTCTTAGAGCGAGCCTGTCACTCAAAGGTGTATGGGTGAAGGAAAGGTCACATTTGCTTCATGTGTGTGTGCTGGAACTCTAACCCCTAAACGGCAAAGTAGTTGTTAAAGAAATGGACTGAGTCTTCCCTGTCTTTGAAGCTGGAGGAGTGAAGATAAACTAGTTACCAGAGAGTATTTCAAGGGGCTTCAGCAAAGGACTAAGCTAAGGATAGAGACCACATTGTCCTACATAACCATGGAGATAAAAACCGCTTGGCCTTCTGGTACCTACTGGCTTCCTACTTTTTAGAAGAGTCCAACAATTAAACCTAAGTATCATTAAATTCAATTAGAAAAATATTGAATTCTCTCAGGGACTCAGCAGTCAGAGAACGATTAGGAAGAAATATCAGAATACACAACCAAAGAAATAACGCTGCTAGAGGACACAGATGAAAACCTAAGTAAAAATAAGAATAAGAACACTTAAAGATATTTAAGACAGCCCAAAAAATTCCTATAGAAAAAAAGTAAAGATTCTCAAACTATTGACTAGATGAATTGAAGAAGAGTATAAATAGTGAGACCTGAGTTAGTAGCCTGAAAAATCAAGTTGAAAAAAAAATCTAAAAGCACAGGTAAATTTAAAAGGGGTATATTATGAGGGAAAAGGTAGTAGAAGGGTAAGAGAAATGGAAAATAGATTCAGGGAACTGGAATTATAAGTGTTCAAGAAAGAGAAAAAGAAGAGAAGGAAAGGAAAGGCAATAAAACACTAATAAAAAACAATTTCTCTGCAGATTCTAAGGGCTCCCCCAGACTCAAATAGAATTCATGAGGAAACAAACACTGCACATTACATGATGCAGAAAAAAAATTACAAGCTTCTAGAGAAAAATAACAAATTACTTGTGAAGAAATAATAATCATACTTCTTGTCTGCCACAGTAGAAACTAAAAGATAGTGAAAAAGCCATCAAGTTACTGAAAGAAAAGGAGCGAAAAATCAAGAGTCCTGTATATACAGACCAAACATACCTCTTAGGTATCAGAAGAATATTCAAGTATGTGTCAAACTTCAACATAAATACTTTAACTAAAAGACAAGTGAACACTGAATGGAGATTTCAAAATGTGGAAGAAAGGAAACAAAGGATTAGTGAACCTTCTTCTATGAAAGAGGAAGAGATAGTATGTGTGTATGTATATGGTTAAAATTAAATCTTAATATCTATGAATGGTTGTATAACTTTTACATAAGAACTGTTGGATAAGAGGGAACATAATGCAAGGAATATTTTTAAATGTACTATCTTAAGGAACAGAGAGGGGCAAGATATAACAGTATTAAAGGTTAATTGTTCCTCCTCCCTACCCAAATTCATATATATTGAAGACCCAACCTCCAGTGCCTCAGTATGTGACCTTATTTGGAAATAGGGTGATTGCCGATATAAGTAGTTAAGATGAGGTCATACTGGAGTAAGGTGGATCCCTAATCCAGAATGGTAGTATCCACATAAAAAGAGGAATTTGGAGAAGGCCATTTGAAGATGAAGGCAGAGATGGGTGGTACTTCTGTTTGCCAAGGCAAGCTAAAATTTGGGAGCAAAACACCAGGACCTAGGAGCGAGGCCTGGAACAGATTCTTCCCTACAGCCCTTGAAAGGAATCAACTCTGTCGACACCTGGATTTTGGACTTGTAGCCTCCAGAACTGTAAGACAACAAACTTCTGTTGTTCAAGCCACTCAGTTTGTTGTACCTTGTTAGAGCAGCCCTAGCAACACAAATACAGCAGCCCTGGGGAATCCAAAGGGTGTTCGAGGGGTTCTTATGAAGTAGGACATGTAGGGCAAAAGAGGAAAAGCAGCAGAAAATGGAAGGTCTCATCTTACTCTGAGAGCAAATAGTGCATTTTGGGCAACAGGATCATCTTAGTGTATCAGTTTTCTTTTCCTGTGTAACAGATTACCATAAGTTCAATGGCTTAAAACATCGCATACTTATTGCCTAACAGTTTTCATGAGTCAAGAATTCAGTTACAGATTGGCAGGATCTTACAAGGCTAAAATCAAGGTGCCAGCTGATGCTGTGATTTCATCTGAGGCACAGGGACCTCTTCCAGGTTCACTGGTGGATGCTTTGTTCAGTTTGTTGCAGTTCTGGGACTAAGTTCCTGTTTCCTTGCGGGCTGTTGGCCAGGGGCCACTCTCAGCTCCTTTCAGCTGCCTTCACATTCTAGCCGCAGAACCCTGTCGCAACATGGCAACTCATCTCTTATTAGTCAGCAGGAAAATTACTCTCCAGTCTGCTACAACAGTATCATAGACTCAAGGCAGTGAATACTCCAACACATTCCCATGTCCTGACCCCATGTAAGGAAAGGAGATCATGCAAGGTATGTATACCAAGAAGCAGGAATCTTGGGGCCATCTTAGAATTTTGCATACCACACTTGGTTAGGGACATGTATATTGTTTTCAAATAAAGGTAGAGTCATATGGATCCAATCATGCAAACAAAGGAGGGAAATAACCATTAAAGGAATAAAACACTACATTAAAATCTCCAACCTAATAAAGTGAACATTGAGTCACCAGGAAAAATAGGGAGAAGAAGAAACATTGTAAAATAGTTAAGAAACAAAACATTAACAGGAATAAAATAAAACATGTCAACCATAAAATGTGCTGGGGTGAATTTCCCTTTTGAAAAAAAAGACTGTCAGATTGATATAAAAAGCAAAGCTCATCTATATGTTATTTCCAGGAGCATATTTAAACTGATGAAGGACTTCCTCTTCTGTTAATGGCAGATAGGTAATTCAAAGCAGCCTTCCTGCTAAAAGACAACTGAAAAATCAGGGCAAAATATCAAAATTATCTTCTTAAAAACATCAAAGAGCTAACATGAGGTAATATCAGACCAACATCCAGAAGAAGAGAGAAATCGCAGCAAGAGGTTCAACATTTGGAGTTACTTTTATCTAGCATACATTTCAAAACAGAGATGAGGATTATGAACAGGTGAGAATTTGTGAGACTGGGGAATAAAATAAGAGTCCAGGACCTACAAAAGATAGTACCCATAAAAACTACCCTGCCTTTTCTTTGGGTGAAGAACAGTGCCTTAGGAGACAGAATGAACAAAGAAGTAACCACTCTTCACCTGTAAAGAAGCTCTGATGTAAGATGTCTATGTGTTCCAGAAAATGTCAAATCCCAAAATTGGACCAAATTGATCGCAGCTTACTCATTACCTCAGGGGCCTACCAGAAACAAATTCACTCTAGAGAAATGTTCTAAAATTGATTTGGTTAATGGTTGTACAACTCTGTAAATACACTAAAAAGCCACTGAATTGTATACAGTTGACCTTGAACAATGAGGGAGTCAGGGGCACTGGCCCCCTACACAGCCAAAATTCCATGTAGAACGTTGGCTCTCCAAACCCTTTGCTAACAGCTACTGTTGACCAGACCTTTGCCAAAAACAATATCAACACATGTTTTGTATGTTATGCATATTATATCCTGTATTCTTAAAACAAAGTAAGCTAGAGAAAACTTTTTTTTCAAATTGTCACAAATCTACAAAAAAATTTTCCAATATATTCATTGAAAAAAATCTGCATATAAGTAGATTTACTCAGTTTGAGCATATGTTGTTAAAGGGTCAGCTGTATATTATTTTTGCTTTGGTCTCTTTTTTTTTGAGGTATAGTTCATATACAGTATTATATTGGTTTCAAATATACAACACAGTGGTTCAGCACTTTCACACATTATTAAATCCTCACACCCACTAATGTAGTTACTATCTGTCAACATAGGAAGATGTTGCCAAACCATTGGCTGTATTCTCCATGCTGTACTACCATCCCCATGACCAACTTATATTATGACTGAGATTTTTGTGCCCGTTTATCCCCTCACCTTCTCCACATACCCACCTCAACCCCTCCTCCATGGTAACCACCAGTCACTTGTCAGTGTCTATGAGTCTATTTGCCATTTTGTTCATTTTGTTTTGTTTTGTTTTTAGATTCTACAAAGAAATGAAATCATATGGTATTTGTCTTTCTCTGCCTGGCTTATTTCACTTAGCATAATACCCTCTAGATCCATCCATGTTGTCACAAATGTCAAATATCAGGATTTCTTTCTTTTTTTGTGACTGAATGATATTCCATTGTTTATATGTACCACTTCATCTTTATCCATTCATCTATTGATGGACACATACATAGGTTGCTTCCATATCTTGGCTATTATAAATAATACAGCAATAAAAATAGGAATGCATATATCTTTTCAAATCATGGACTTTGTTTTCTTTGAGTAAATTCCTAGAAGTGGAAGTACTGGGTCATATGATATTTCTGTTTTTATTTTTTTGAGGATCCTCCATACTTCTTTCCATCGTGGCTGCACCAACTGACATTCCCACCACCAGTGTAGGAGGTTTGCCTTTTCTCCACATTCTCGCCAACACTATTCTAACTGGTGTGAGGTGATTCTAATTGTGGTTATAATTTGCATTTCCCTGATGACTAGTGATGTAGAGCATCTTTTCATATGTGTGTTGGCCATCTGAATTTTTTCTTTGGAGAAGTGTCTGTTCAGACTGTCTGCCCATTTTTTTAATCAGGTTATTTGGTTTTTGGTGTTGAAATAAATCAGTTCTTTATGTATTTTGGATATTAAGCCTTTATCAGATAAATCATTTATGAATATGTTCTCCCATACTGTAACTTGCCTTTTTGTTCTGCTGATGATGGTGTCCTTTGCTGTACAGAAGTTTTTAGTTTGAGGTAGTCTCACTTGTTCATTTTTTATTGTTTCCCTTGCCTGAAGAGATGTGTCCAGGAAAAAATTGCTCATACTTATGTTCAAGAGATTTTTACCTATGTTTCCTTCTAAGAGTTTTATGGCTTCATGTCTTTCATTTAGGTCTTAATCTATTTTGAGTTTACTTTTGTATATGGGGTTAGACAGTAATCCAGTTTCATTCTCTTGCATGTACCTGTCATTTTCCCAACACCAGTTATTGAAGAGACTGCCTTTTCACCATTGTGTATTTGTGGCTCCTTTATCATATATTAATTGATGATATTTGTGTGGGTTTATTTCTGGGCTATTCTGTGCCATTGATCTGTGAGTCTGTTTTTGTGCCAGTTCTATACTGTTCTAATTACTGTAGCTTTGTAGTATAGTTTAAAGTTGGGAAGTGTAATACCTCCAGGGTCAGCTGTACTTTAAATGAGTGAATGGTAGGTGAATTATGGCTCAGTAAAGCTCTTGAGAAGATTCCATCCTAAAGGAAGATAAAATTATCTTAGACTCAAACTGTTTTTACAGTTAAAAAAATAATAATTCCTGCTAAACATAAGTACATGAAGGAATACAAGACCATGAACAAGAATCAGCAGAAATAACAAGTTACAGAAAGAACCATTGGTATTTCCAAAAGTAAAATTATTAGTTATAGACTGTACAACAATATGGTAAGGCACACATAGAAATAAAACCAGATTTCAGTGAGAAATTAAAAACAGTGACATTGCAAATTTGAGGGAAAAAACACAAAAATCTCAAATATTGACTTTCTGCTTCTGATAATGGCAGACTACCTATTACCAGATCAAGACTTTTACAAAAAATACTGTAAACTCTGAAAAAAGCTTAAAAACAATTACCTGAAAGGACTAAAGAATACACAAAAACAAGCAGGCACTGGAGTGGTATCTACAAATGGCAGAAGAGAACCACACTAAGTGAGTTTCCTATTTTTATAAGTTTTCACCTGATGGAAAACCCCAGTCAGCATTACTCCGGGCTGCTGAAATTTAGGGGGACCCTACAATCTGACTTCTGATTTCATCCAAGATGGAGTAACAGAGACCAGAGGTATCCTCCCAACTATAACAACAACAAAAACAAAAATATGTAAAATTTTGTGGATTTCAAGACACTGACTGTCAAGCAGTGATGAACAGTGAGCTCTGAGAGATGGAAAACCAACAAGGTGAACCCCAGCTTATTACCTTGAGAGAGTTTCCAGTCTGCAGTAGAGAGAGGAACCCAAGGCAGAACCTGTTGTGCTCTGTGAATTGAGAAGATTGAGCTAAGAGCCCAGCTAGATCAACATAGCCAGAGTTCATAGGATGGAGTAGCAGAGAGGAGTAAGCTGCATAGAGACAACTCCAGAGATCTGCAGAGTTCTCCTCGGGCATTAAGCAAAGAACTGATGAGCACATGTATGTGAAGAAACTGCCCAAGGTCAGGGGCAAAACCACCCAACACGATGAGAGTGAATAATGCTTGGTACTTACACAGAACCTGGTTCTACCAGCCAAGCTGAAATGCCTCATGATTTACATAGAATTAAATAAAGTTCTCAGAAGGGTCTTGCCTCAGTAATGTGGAAAATTTAGCCCTACCTTAAATGCTGCCATGGTCCTACCTGACAATTATAAAGCACTGACCTAAAAGTATCTGTTTCCAAATAATGTAATTGTCACAGAACAAAGCTCAATAATTATACAAATATAAAAATACCCTGTACTCATCAGTGCAAAATTGACAGTTTCTGGCATCCAAAGATCACCAAGCATGCAAAGAAGCATATATGGTACCCCTATATGACCATAAGGTGAAAAATTGATTAATTGAAATGAATCTAGAATTTAGAATTATCAGATACAGACATCAAAAGTTTTTATATTTCTATATTCCATATGCCTATAAAATAGGTACAGGTATGGAAATAGAAAAAAAGCCCAAATATAGCTTTTAGAGATGAAAACTTGTTTCTGATGAGAAATACACTGGATGGGACTTAGAGTGTCTTAGACATTGCTGAAGAAAAGACTGCAGAACTTGGAAGACATAACAACAGAAACTATCCAAAATAAGTTTTCAATGAGAAAAGCATCAGTAAACAGAGAGACAACAAATGATATACTATATGTGCAATTCAGAGCCCCTGAAAGGAGAGGAAGGTGGCAGGAACAAGAAACATGAAGAAACAATACCAAGAAACATCATTATTAAATTGCTGAAAATCAAGGATAAAGAGAAAAATCTTGAAAGTAGTCAATGGAAAAGACAAATCATATACAAGGAACAAAACAGCATATTTCTTATTGGAAACAAGATAGAATAATCAAAAGAAAAAGATTATCAACCCAGAATTCTATACCTGATGAATCTGGCAATATCCATTCTACTGCAGTTAATCTGTCCATATAACATAAAGACATTTACAGAGATAATTTTTTTTTACAGAGATTATTTTATTATAGCATTCTAGCAGAATAATGATAGGTGAATGCCTATCCATACGGGGATGGCAGAATAGGGTACCTCTTCTCTCACAGTACCTGGCAGCCATCAAAAAGAAATAATTAGGAGTTATACCAGATATCTTAGAGTGCTTTCCATATGGTATTTCATAGAAAGCAAGATTCAGATCATGTGTATGATATCCAAGTTTTATATGATAAACAATCTTGACAAAACTTGAATGTATACCTATATGTCTGCCTAGGACTATATTAAATCAAGAAGAATATGAAAGTGTAACCTCCAGGGGAGGGGAAAGCAACATTTAAAAGTATTAATTAGAAATGTAACTCTTTATGCAAGTATATAAAATATATATATATATAAAAAATGGTATTTTTATATAGTTTATATAAATTCCCCTAGGTTTGTAAACTCTCTCCACCCCAATCAATAATACTAATCTTTATTGTTTAATAGCTGTAATGAAAGAAACAGGAAAGAAGGTTCCTGATGCTTGCATTTCTAATAATTTCTTTTTCCTGTTATTCTATGATATTTGGTTTCTAGGTAGGCATTTCTAACTGAGCCAGACTTAGTGTTAATCATAGCATAATAATAACATTAAATATTATTAAAAATACATCTTAGGCAGAGGAAAGGGGACTCTAATCAAAGATTATAAAATGCTACAAGTGAGCAGTAAACAATTATCTGGGAAACAGAAAAAAGTTATGTGAACATCTGGCCATTCAGATTACTCTGCCTTCAGGTAGTACCATTTTCAAGTTCAGTCTGTTCCTCATGGCACCATCCCCCAGATTTCATGACACTGCCTATTGGTGATTGAAGAGCCCAGACAGAAAGCTTAGACCATGAATAAGATGCAGGGCATTTAGAATACAGAATTCATATACACCACATTTGAAAGTAATAGTTAAGAGTATGTCTGAGATAAGGCTTTTCTCTCCTTTCATCTTAGCAAAGCTAAATGAATAAGTCATGTTTTAATTGGGTATGTTTGAATGTTACCATTAACTTTTGGATTTGCAGCTAATGAAAACCAGCCAGAGAAGCCTCACTTTGATTCTCGCAGTGTGATATTTGAGCTGGATCCTTGCAATGGGAATGGGAAGGTTTGCCTTGTTTACAAAAGAGGGAAACCAGGTAAGAATCATTGACAAGCATGGTCCTGTAGCTTGGGTATGGCCTTGGGTAACTTTCTCCCCAGTCATCACACATCACTCCTCCCTGGCCCCCTGAGACACCACCAGTCGCATAAAAGCCAAGAGCTAGAAAGCACCTTGAGTCCTCCCTGAGCATCCCCTTCAAGGCCAATAACGAGTCTTTTTAAGCTATTGTCACTTGTGAGTTACTGCAAAATAATGGGATCAGGAAAATAAGTGAATAAAAGCTAAAATAATCGGTCATTTGTTTATAGACTCTTCCAGCAGGCTCATGCATTAGAAAAGCACCCAAGGAAAACATTATCTTTCTTTTATATGTATATATAGGGCAATTAACAGCAATAAAAACCTGAATTATTGGACTCCAATCTAAAACCCCAGATCAGAAGTCAAGAGAAAAAGTCTCTGGCCCCTTGAGCAGCAGCTACCACCTCTTTCCCACAACTGCAGTGCAGGCCCTCATCTAGGGACTATGAAAGTATAGAGCTGGACGAGGCCCAGACCTCTTCAAGTAGCTCTGACTGGTAGGGACACAGGATTTACCTATTGAGTTGTATCTTGAGCTACAGAAGGAATTAGATGTGGGTGGGGAGGGGGTTGGTGGGTTAAAGGGAGCATCCAACTGAAGAGAGAACAGATAAAAGCCATGTCATTGAAAAGAACAACTGATTTTGGGGGTGATGGCGAATATTACTGATTCATTGGGCCATTTGGTTCATCTCTGGATGAGGAGTATGTGAAGCCAGAAGGCCATCCTGCAAATCTGGAGTTTGGACATAACATGGAAGACTGGGGAGTATACAAGGTTTTTTGGCAGAAGAATGGCAGAATTGAAATGGAACTGTATGACCACAACTGGAAGAGGAAGAGATTGGAGGATGAAGGCCACTTAAGGAGATATTACAGCCACAGGCAGGAGATAAACTAAGAAAGGCCTACAGCTGTAAGACTGGAAAGTCAGAAGCAAGTGGCAGGAGCTGGCACAATAATGCCTGCTTCAGCTCAACCAGGGCATCACACCACAGCATGGGCAGGATTCCCAGGACGGGGCTGATCTGGGCTCCTTCACAGTGGTTCCTCACAGCACTGATTCCTGCAGACACCTCTTGAGAAAACCAGAGCCATTCAGAGTTTCTATCAGGAGAGCTAAGGCCACAGTATGTACTCACAGGCGGAGGGGAGTGCTGATTCCACACAGAGAAGGAGGGCGCTGCATAGATAGCCTGCATGCACAAATGGCAAAACCCAGCACATAGATCAGTCAACTGATCAGGAAATTGTAAAAGAATACCAAAGAAACCTGTAACAATGGCCACTGGACAATGGGCATAGAATTTGAAAGGGGAAAATCGTTACTTAAAGTTCACATTCTTTTACTATTGGAATTTTTTTATAACCACAAGAGTGTATTGACTTTTCAGATAAAAGAAAAAAGGTGTTAAGCCGTCCCTTCATTTATTCCTTTGTCTGCTATTTCAGCATTAGCACAAGACACTGAGATCTGGTTCCTGGACAGAGCATTATACTGGCATTTTCTCACAGATACCTTTACTGCCTATTATCGCCTGCTCATCACCCACTTGGGCCTGCCCCAATGGCAGTATGCCTTCACCAGCTATGGCATCAGTCCACAGGCCAAGGTAAGGGAGAAATACCTGTCATCGTTAACTGTGGAATGTATCAGAATCTTCTGAGGAAATGCTCATGTTACAGATTCCCAGCTTCCCTGTTTCGGAAGATATGGGGTGGAACCCCAGTACCTCCTTTATTAAGCAAGACAGGTTATTCCAATATAGGTAGACAGCTTCATCTTTCTACTGATCTACTTAAGTGGTTCCCAAACTTGGCTCGTTCTTATTCCTACTTATATTTTATTGGGGGTTTCAGTCTGATTGTTGGTTTTAGATAGGCAGTGTATGCACACAGAAAGAAGAGCCAGTCTCTTCTTCGCAGGCTTTCCAGCCAACCAGTGCACTTCCTCAGAAGCAGCCACTGTTTCTCTTGGGCTCTTCCCAAGGTACTGTATGCATAGAAGGTATGCATGGATACAGATTTTGGTTCCTTTTTTCTAAATCACAAGTGCAATATACAGCTCACATAGTTCTTTGCTTCTTTTCACTTAACACTTTATATCAGAGCTCATTCCCTATCGGTATGTAGAGAGCTGTCCTTTTTAATGATACAGAGCATTCCATTGTATATATGTGCCTCCTATTATATTATAGATCTGGGCACCATTCCAAACATACAGATGCCAGCTCATGAAGATACACTACCTAATTTGAGAACACCAAGTGTGTCCCGAAGAACTTTTGCCACCCAGGCAATAAATTAGGGACTCAGAGCCATGTAGGTATTCCTTTAGTGGCTCCCACCTTCCTCAAATGTTACATACCCCCACCAACCGTTCATCAACATTGCGAGGTCAGTTAAAGGTCAGTAAACATGATGCCCTTTGCCCTGAGCTGCATAGGGAAGTGAGCACCAACATAGGTGGATTCCCTCAGCAGCAGCCTGCCCTTATGTCATGCACCTTCCCTAGGGGAAGGGCACTGCTCAGTCCACCTGATGGGCAGCTGCTGGCTTGAGGGCAGAATAATCAGGACACTGTCCCTTGATGATTTGGAACCTAGTATCCCAGACTCAGGGTTCACTAGATCAAAAGGAAGTAAGTTTACTCAGATTCTTAATTCATGACCATGCTGCTTTTATTTTAAAGGTTATGAGATCTCATAAAGAAATGTGTGTGTCTTCACTTTCACTTAAAGGAAGTCGTAATAGAGTTGAGCCATAAAAAATCTTGCTTTCTTCTCTGCCTCATCTCCCCAGCTAGCTCCCCCTGTATACCCAACTAAAGAATATAAACAATGTCATTTTTCCTTGGAATTGTGACCTTTCTCAATTCTGTCTCACAGCAATGGTTCAATATGTATAAACCCATCACCTACAACACAAACCTGCTTACAGAAGAGACCGACTCCTTTGTGAACAAGCTGGATCCCAGCAAAGTGTTCAAGAGCAAGAACAAGACCTTAATCCCCAAAAAGAAAGGGCCTGTTCAGCCTGCAAGTGGCCCGAAAGGGCCCTCAGCTCCTCCCTCCACCTCCAAGTCCTCCTCTGGCTCTGGAAACCCTGTCCGGAAATGAAAGCCCCCGACTTCCAGTTCCCCACCAGTTCCGTAGCAATGATTTCCACACAGATTCCCCGGGGGTAGTCAAAGTTCTGTATTTTGTGTGTGTGGAACCATTCTCTTCCATCTGAGTGACCAGAATTCTAGGCCTTTTATTTTCATTGGCATTAGCCAGAAGTTGAAAGGGTATACTCAAGTCTCCCCAAGGGTCTCCCCCTCATATCCTTGGTAGCAGGTTGTGCTACCCCCTTCCTCTGGAAGCTGTGGAAAATTTCTGACTTGTTTAAGTGATTAAATAGATCTGTTAAGGGCGTTCCTTTCATTCCACTTCCAAACGCCTACCCCAGTGATTAGAGAAGTTCCCCCAAGGAAACCACATTATGATCCATGAGACATTAGAACTATGCCATTCACTTGGTAGACACTAGTTGCAAGTGGCTTTTTATATTAAAAATTCACTTCCTCAGTTGCATTTACCACATTTTGAGTTTTCTTGTGGCTAGTGGATTCTGTATTAGGTAACAGAGGTGATGGAACATTTCCATCATCACAGGAAGTTCTCTTGGGCAGCACTGCATTAGAATATTTTCACACTTCTTCCTCAGATCAGTTAATTTTTGTTAGGGAATGTTGATACCTTAATTTTATGGGTCATAATGTTCCTTGAAAACTTTTGAAAATAAAATTTTATGTTCATATCCTTCACCACAAACAACTCGCTCTGCTCCTTTCTTTTTCAGTTTCCTTTATAGTTTCTTGTTTCCAGTCTTGTGATGTTTACACATTGGCCACAAATATCTGCTCAGTTTTTAAAAGAGGAGGTGATTCTGCTGCACTTCATTCATTTAAAGAAACAAAACTAAGCGTCGCTGTACGAGACCCTTCATCAAGGGTTTGATGAAGCCACTAGCTGTTGAATAGAGATTTCCACCTGCTCTACCTACTCACAACTGTTCAACAACTCATAAAGTTGCAGAAAAGAACAGAGAGGTATCAGCTTGTCAAGGATAGTAGCTGAAGTTTAGTCTTCCAGAAATATTTTTCTGCCAAAACTGATTAAATCAAAGGGAGAACCAGCACCACCAGATAAGAGATCCTAGCATCTGGCTGCCCTCCAAGGCAAAGTCAGAAGGGGACTGAGAAGTCATGCCATCTCCACTGTGGCAGGCGTCATTCCTCCAGTACTTGGAGAGCCCCTGGCTTATTTCTGAGCTGATCCTGGTCTAGTTTACATTTCACAAGTGAGCAGCAGGAGAGCAGCAGTATCCTTCAAGTGGAAGTCCCCAAAGGGCTGTAGAAGGAAGGGGTTCTTGTCAGGAAAGGATCAAGCACAGCCTCCGGAGGAGCAGAGTGGTGAAGAGCTGGGCTGGCTGCCTAATACGTAGGAAGACCCATTACAAAATGAAGATGTGGGGGCCTCTTGTCCAAAAATTAGGAAAATATCATCATTAAAGCTACTAAAACATTTTTTCTTCTATGGTCTCTCTCACAACTTGCCAGGGTAGAAAAATTGAAATTTAAATGATTAGCATTAATTTTTTTCTTTATATTGTTCAATCCCAGTTTTAAATGCATCTATAAGAGCATTTAACTCATATGCAGAACCACCAAAATTACACAATTTTTAATTCATTGCTTTTGTACACTTATATGCATTTGTATTTTGTTGTTACCAGATCAGTGGTACCATTGCATAAATATAGCTAAACTGTTCACTTCTTGATGTGTACACATTGATATTTATCAACACTCTTTTTCAACTTCTGATGAGTAAGAAAGGACTGAAAGAAAAAAAGCTAGGAGCTGCCCTGTTTACCTTTGCTTCTGTGGCATCATTTTCAGCATAACTGGGTGGCTAGTACAGGAAAGTAACATGAACAAAAGAGGATGTGATAGTGTTCCAGGGTCATTTGTGCTGCTTAGAATTCCATTACCTTTTTGCATTCAAATCAAGGCTGGTTCAAATGGAAAGCATGGCCTCTTGTGCTCTCAACGCCCCCGACTTACTCAGTGCTTACCTTGTACTTTAAATCTCTCTCAACTTTCCTGTGTAGTAGGTCTACTGGAATTCTGTGCTCATGCGTATCACGAAGGCTCTAAGTGAATGAGGCAGTAAGGAACAGTGGATATGCATATTGCATGATCTCCTCTGCTCGTGTGTATTTGTCTCATCAGACTTCACTTACAAAACTCAAGTTCAAAGATAAAATGAAGAACTTCAAGAGAGTAACAGAAGAGCATTAAAACCAAGTGTGAGGCCTTTCTGAGTGTGAGGCCTTGATTGACTGCACAAATCACACACCAATGAAACTGATTCTGGTGATGGAGGAAGGAGCACTCCTGGCAAAAGACTTCAGACTTGTCTGACAGCGTGGGTTGTGTGGGTTACATAGGGGAAAAACTCACCCATGAGATTTATGTTTCGAAACAAAAGCAATTAAAATGGCGAGAGGTTGTACTATAAAACTGCTCAAGAAAAAAACTATGCTAGAATCACAAAATAAGAATAAGCGGCAGAATGCCTCATAATCATTGACATGTTTAGACTGTGCATAACCTGCCACATTATCATGCTGCTTGAGTCCTACAGGAGGGAAGTACCCAAGCTAAGGAAAGTAGTGACATGGTAATCCACAGAATCTAGATTATCCCTTGAAACTGTGCTCCCCAAACTTGAACACGCATCAGTGTTGCTGGAGTTATGTGTAGAAAATAAGATATTTAGATGCCCACTCCAGACTAAAAATTGCAAGGAACAATTCCAGACATCAAGACTTTAATTAACTGCATTGATGACAGTGATGCATACTACCTTTGTACTTAATGGGTCTAGGTAGTTCTACTTCTGTTGCATGGAGAACTCAAAATTTGTTTTCAATCTAGTGAAGCATCTACAATGACTGAAGCAGAAGGACCAAGGGACCTTTTTAGTTTCTGTGTAAATGTGTTTTTTTTTAAGCTATAATGGAAAACTTTAAATATTTACAAAGATACATAGAATAGTATAACAAATCCCCGTGTATCCATCACCCAGTTTCAACAGTTCTCAACTCGTGATCATGTTTATCTACATACCTGTTTTGTACCTCTCCAATTTTAATTTTTAAAACTGCTTTTTAATTTATCTTTTGGTTTTTAAGTTATACTTCTTTGAATTTAATTTTAGCAGTTGCTATAAGAATTACAATACATATTCTTAACTTTTTTTTGCTCAATATAGTAGCTACTTAAGAGTCCCTGGTAGCCATATTTGTGTAGCATAACTCTGGCCCCTGGATTGCAGGTCACTGGTGGGATCCAGTCCAGACTGGGTTATTTTTCTAGCTAAGCATTCTCTGGTTAACCCACAGCCCCATTATGTGAAGATTAAATGAGAACACAGAAAATTTAGTCCTTTTTTCCCTTCTTTGTGATGTGATTTCAACCTTTCTTTCCAGCCATTAACTTTCCATGGGAGCCTTCTGGCTCTGCCTCCTGATACATTCACTTGGCTTACAAAACACCTATGTTGAATAAAAGTGGGGAGAGTGGGCATCCTTGTCTTGTTCCCAATCTCAAAGGAAAAGCTTTCAGCTTTTCACTGTTAAGTATGATGTTGACTGTGGGTTTGTCATATATGGCCTTTATTATGTTGAGTTACTTGCCCTCTGTACCCATTTTTTTGAGTTTTTACCATGAAATAATGTTGAATTTTGTCAAATGCTTTTTTAGCATCTATGGAAATGATCATGTGATTTTTGTCCTTTTTGTTGATGTGGTGGATGATGGTGGATTTTCTAGTATTGTACCAACCTTGCATCCAGGGAATAAATCCTACTTGATCATGATGGATGATTTTTTTGATGTATTTTTGAATTTGGCTTGCTAATATTTTGTTGAGTATTTTTGCATGTATGTTCCAGGGATATTGGTCTGTAATTTTCTATTTTTGTGGTGTCTTTGCATGGTTTTGGTATTAGGGTGATGCTGTCCTCATAGAATGAGTATGAAAGTATTCCTTCCTCTGCTACTTTTTGGAAAACTTTAAGGAGGATGGGTATTAGATCTTCACTAAATGTTTGATAAAATTGAGTGGTGAAGCATCTGGTCCAGGAGTTTTGTTCTTAGGTAGTTTTTTGATAACCTAAAGACATACACAGATTAAAAGTGAAGGGATGGAAAAAATATTACATGCAACTAATAGGGATAAAAAAAGCAGGAGTTGCAGTACTTGCTTGTATCAATTCAATTTCATTGCTTGTTATTGGTCTGTTCAGTTTTTTTGTTCTTTCTTGGTCAGCCTTAGAAGGTTGTATTTTTTTAGAAAGTTGTCCATTTCTTCTAGGTTATCCAGTTTGTCAGCATATAATTTTTCATACTATTGTCTAATAATTCTTTGTATTTCTGTGGTGTACGTAGTGATTTTTCCTTTCATTTCTGATTGTTTATGTGTGTTGACTCTCTTTTTTTCTTGGTAAGTCTGGCTAGGGGTTTATCTGTTTTGTTTATTTTATTGAAGAACCAGCTCCTGCTTTTATTGAGTCTATTGTTTTATTCTTCTCCATTTTATTTATTTCTGCTCTAATCTTTATTATGTCCTTCCTTCTACTGACTTCAACCTCATTTGTTCTTCTTTCTCTAGTTTTGATAATTGTGAGTTTAGACTGTGCATATGGGACTGTTCTTATTTCCTGAGGTAGGCCTGTATTGCAATATACTTCCCTCTCAGCAGTGCCTTCCCTGTGTCCCAAAGATTTTGCATTATTGAATTATTGTTATTAGTGTCCATATATGTTACTTAATCTCTGTTTTAATTTGGTCATTGATCCATTGGTTATTAGGGAGCATGTTGTTAAGCCTCCATGTTTTTGTAGGCTCTTACATTTTCTTTGCATAATTTAGTTTTATACCCTTGTGGTCTAAAAAGCTGGTTGGTACAATTTCAATCTTTTTGAATTTACTGAGGCTGTTTTTGTGGCCTAGTATATGATCTATTCTTAAAAATGTTCCATGTGCACTTGAGAAGAATGTGTATCCTGCTGCTTTTGGGTGGAGAGTTCTGTGGATGTCTGTTAGGTCCATCTGTTCTAGTGTGTTGTTCAGTGCCTCTGCCTCCTTACTTACTTTCTGTTTGGTTGATCTGTCCTCCAAACTTGGTGGAGTGTTGAAGTCTCCCAGAATGAATGCATTGAATTATTTTTTTGCTTTCAGTTCTATTACTGTTGGTTTCACATATGTAGGTTCTCCTCTGTTGGGTGCAGAGATATTTATAATAGTTATATCCTCTTGTTGGATTGACCCTTTTATCATTATGTAATGTCCATCTTTGTCTCTTGTGACTTTCTTTGTTTTGAAGTCTATTTTGTCTGATACAAGTACTGCAACTCCTGCTTTTTTCTCCCTATTAGTTGCATGAAATATCTTTTTCCATTCCTTCACTTTTAGTCTGTGTATGTCTTTAGGTTTGAAGTGAGTCTCTTCTAGGCAGCATATAGACAGGTCTTATATTATTATCTATTTAGTGACTCTATATCTGTTGATTGGTGCATTCAGACCATTTACATTTAGGGTCATTGTCAATAGGTATCTATTTATTGCCATTGCAGGCTTTGGACTTGTGGTTACCAAATGTTCAAGGGTATCTTCCTCACTATCTAACAGTCTAACTTAACTCACTTAGTATGCCATTACAAACACAATCTAAAGGTTCTTTTCCCCCTCCCCCTTTTTTTC